TTTGGGATTCAGACATTTCGACGAGGGACTATTTGGGACTGTTCTGAACACTTGGTGTTGACGACATTCCCATCTGCCCCCTTCTTCTTCGTCTAACCCCCATCTCCTTCGTCTGTGTATGGTAGGGGCTGGCGCAGTCTTCCTGTGTGAAGCGCCAGACCCCATTCACACCAGGTAACGATGATGATGATGTATGTTCAGGGCTGCATTGCAATATTGATTGTTCGGATCATTGGTATCTAAGTCTTCCGCTGTGCTATCTTATACTTTGTATTGAGAGGTCGGTTCTTGTTCTGGTCTGCACAGTTACAGTATGCAACACTATGTTTCCATGGTAAATGCCTCTTGTCTGAGGTCGGCGTGCTCCCAACATCTGTCTTGTGGATCCATACGCACCTGGTCCACTGGTACTCCTCTGCACAGTAGGTGCACAGGTCTTCCCCCTCGCGATCTCGGGGGTCATGTCTACTATGACCTGTGCTTGCACCTCCTCTGGGTTTCGAGCTGTTGTACCTTCATAGCAGATGTAGTTCCCGGCATCCGCCTGTCCTGACCATTCCTTCACGATCGCCATGTCCCCTTCGTCTGAGACCACCCGAGCTATGGAGCTGTCTTCCCCTCCGTCCAAATTCGCCGATTCGTCCCCACACTCGTCCGGAATTGCATTTATCAAGTTTTCCGTGCGTGTCCCCGCATGTCGCAGACTTCCCAGCTTGGCCCGCAGCTCCTCCTCCATTAACCATCGATTCCCGTCCTCATCTTATAGTAGGTCTTTAATAGTGACCACTCCCCAGCCAACCTCCCATTTCCCACCGAAACATCCCTTTGCGCAGGTGGCTTTGAAAGGTTCTCTGACTACCTTCTTCCCCCGAATACAACGTACGGTCACTATAGCTGTATTTGGGGTTTGTTTCAGTCTAAATACAGCTATAATGACCGTACGTTGTATTCCGGGGAAGAAGGTAGATCTATGATCGAAGGGTTGTCAAAGAGGTTTTGTCTGAGTACTGCACTCTTCGAGTCCACCTTCAGATTCCCTGGTCTGAGTTTCCTCCAGGCCTTTAGAATATCCGACCCCACCTCGGAAGAAGAGCCTCCTCTGCTCAGGAAGGATTCCATCTTGATGCATTGCAGACCCATATGTCTTCTTCTCGAGTCGACCCCCCGTTGTATTGCAGGATGTATTCTGCTAGCCACACCCACGCTCCCTTTCCTCTTCCAACGTCGCCACCTTGGTAACCATTTTCCCAGAAGTGCTACGGTCTTCACCCGACGTGGAGTAGGACTCTTACCGGTGTGCGCATTGAGAGCATTTCAATTCCGGTCTGGGCCGGTTGTGAAAGCGGCAGGCCGCTTTGAAAAGGCGCTAAGTTGCAGGCTTGCGAGCCTTGGAAGTAGCTTCAACAACTTCAGCGCGTGGGAACTGTTGGTTGTAAAGCACTAGTACCTCCGCCAGGGTTGGTAAATTAGGGAAAACGGGCTGTTCCCGAAGAGTTCGGAGGCGAGCCTGACGACGGCTGCCATTGATAAATCTCATCGGCAGCCGTCGTTTCGTTTCGGCCCTCCTAAAAGGCCGGAGGCCCACCCGAGGCCCACCCGAGGCCCACCCGAGGCCGTCCATTTTCCCACTTGGCAAAGGTACTAGTGGTTTAACTTCAAAATTCCTCCCAGGTCTCTTCCACCCGAGGTCTCCCACTCCTTAAGCCGCCAGTACACGGCCCCAGCCTTGCTGAAAATGCAACTCGTCGTCACCTACGAAAATTTCCGAGGCTCGGTCTACGGGACCACAATGTCTGGCGGCGCCAGCCAAATTCAACCCTTCCATGTGTGTATCCTTCCGCTGTCACTAGGCAGGTACATGCCAAGCTTGGGTCTCATTTAAACCACCACTCCAACGACCCCTGCACTGTTCATTTTTCTTGTCTATAAGTACCAGGGCAAAATCTACAGTGCCCAGGATCGGGACCACAATCGCATAACTTTCTTTGTTTTTTATCACTTACTTTCCCTCAGGGTGGGACCGTAGATCTTAGGCACAGGCAAATACAACTTTTGGTTTGTCAAAATAGGCCTGGAAGTGCAGCAACTCGGACATGTCCGCCGAATTGCTTGGTTTAACATTCGGAGTCGTTGACTAATTGTATGCTTGGCCCGGAAGTGCAGCAACACGGACATGTCCGCCGAATTGCTTGGTTTAACATTCGGAGTCGTTGACTAGTTGTATGCTTGAGCAGCAGAGGTTGCCTCACTCTGTCAGATGATGGGAATCGGAGGGGGGGGGAAAAAAGTAGAAAAAAAAGTGATAAAAACAGTGATTAATAGCGAGCAATAAAGATTTTGTTCACGACCCACTGGATGGATGGTCTGGTTGGCATGGTTTGGTTGTTTCTCCCTTCCCCTAGCATACAGATAAGGGTTTCAGTCATGGCTGAAACTTACCCCCCCCCCCCCCCCCCCCCCCCCCCACCTCAGGAAAAAAAAAAAAAACAGTGAGGAATCAGAGAGTATATTTTTTAGAAAGAAAAAAATGGAGGAAAAAAATGCGGAAGTGGTCGGCTGGCACTTGGACATTGAACTTGTTGAGGTTCATATAACAAAACAGCGATCAATGTTTGATAGTTAATTTCTAAAGGAGATGGTTTGTTTTCGAAAATTCGGTTATATATAGTCAAACAGAGCTGCCCGGTAAACCGCAGGCAGAGAGGGAGGGGAGGGAGAAGAGGACAACAAACGAGGGGCTGTGACAAAACTGTTTCGTTGGAGTTTCACCGACTCATCATATAATTTGTTTGATGGTTGACTTGCAATTTTGTTGAATAGAAATAAGATCACCACTGGAAACTTGAAATCTAGGCCGAAGGATAATTTGATTATTAGGTAATATTAACACAAATAGTTTTATGACTTAAAAGTTATAAGCTGTCTTGCTGTACAAACACTTGAGCAAAACCTCATACGTACAAAATATTTCAGGGTTTGGGGGTCGGGGGTCGGGGGTTGGGGGTGTATGGTGAGGGTGTTAGTGGGGGGGTTTCAACAAGCACGGGCTTCGGCAGACATTGACAACAACGTACCTGGCTTTCTGCAAACGCTAATCTTCCGCCCAAAAAAACTAAAAAGGGGGCTGGGGGTGTTAGTGGCAGGGTAGGGACGGTTCTTCCCACCCAAATCTTTGAAAAGGGGGGTGGGTGTGTGAGTGTTAGGGGGTGCTTGTCAGTGTTGTCACTGCTGTCTGGTCCAAGTTGCCCTCGATACTGGTATGGTGATGGTCCTGAGTGCTGGTCACACTGAGGTAGGATAGTAGGGATAGAAGTGCGCCTGAGTGCTGGTCACAGCTGAGGTAGGATTGTAGGGATAGGGGGTGAGCTGGGAGCATTAACGTGGGGAAGAGTAGGGAAGGTGGCCTATCCTGTCAGGACAACCACCGGCTGCCGCTGCCAGCGATCACCGTGGGTCTAGTCCCTGGCCTCTACAACACCCTGGGCTTAAAAAAAAGAAAAAAAGAAAAAAAGAAAAAAAAAATGCGCTACGGCCAACCGGGGGGGAACCGGCCTGGTCGACCGGCCGGTAGGACCGGTCCGGTTCCGGTTGGGGGAGGGCCCCCCGGTCCAACCGGGCTTACAACACTGGTCCAAACTAGTTTACTTTTGCATACCCTTTTTATTTGTTTAGGCAAAGCCATTTTTGGTTCACCAAACACTTCTCCATGTTCTACTTGCAAATTGAGTTCTATCTCCAATTTCCTTTTTTCCTTCCAGTTCATGTTTCAAACAAATGAATCGAGTTTTCAGCTCTGTTTCAACCACCACCATGTTATCTTGTATTTGTTCCACTGAAGCACAGATTTATCGGTTGTGGTGTAGGGGTTCGTGCCTGCAGGTGCTTCAGTATCGTGCTTCAGTGGAACAAATGAATCGAGTTTTCCTGTTGGGATGTCGGATCAGGCTGTCGAGGTTCAACCTCCTGATGAGTCGGTGCAACTCCGACGAAACAGTCATCACAACTTCGGATTCAGTTTCTGTTTGTCATCAAGTCGAACTTCAATGGCAATGGCATGCCAGAGCGGTCCCTTCCTCCCTTCCTCCCTTTCTCCCAACCTCCCTAACCCATGCCCTACTGCCTCCCCTCTCCTCGTTCTCTCCACTCAAAACCGCCCTCTCCCCAACGCGCCCCACCTTTCCCTGGAACCTCTCTTCGAGTCTCCGTTTCGCTCCTTTTGTTTTCCTCCCCGCACGTGCTCGCTGTTCTTCGAGCAAAACTTCGATGCTGCAGACTGCTCCTAAAATCATCTGGTGTTAAGAAATGATAAGAATGTCATTCCTTTTTTTTTTTTTTTTTTTTTAAGAATCTTATTCGGTGAGGAATCTTAGGAGGATCAGTGTTGAGTAACTTGATCTGGTGTTTTACTGCTTTGAATTGTGGACCGATGCAGTGGCCTGGGACCAGGTACGGACGGCAGCGAGCCTTGTTCTCGAGCAATGCGTACGGATGATCAAGAAGCAGTCGGCGATATCAACGCCGTGGGAAGTGGCCATGTCCTTTTGCGAAGACGATCACGCTAATGAGATATGCGAACCCCTGCGACCGATCTTTGACTCGACCGGAATGAACTTAGAACAAGAATGGAGCCAGATGCGGAGGAACGTTTGGAAGGGCCTGCTTGGTCGGAAGCTTCTGCACGCGTTTCCACTTCACTACGATGGGTTGGTCGGTCTTGTATGTGCTCTGCGGACGGAGATCTCAAGATCAATGTGAGTATACAGGGTGTACTGCCGTCTTCACCCGAATAGAACATACACTGTCATACAGTCATTATCCCTGTTTTTAGACTGAAAGCTGCCCCAAATACAGATATAATGACCACGTTCTATCCGGGGGAAAGCGTTTGATCCCTGGCAGACTGTTGTTGGATGCTACGAGTCGCTGCGGTCAGGTTTTTATTTTTTATTTTTTTTCTTCTTTGTCGGTCTCATACTCCTTGGTTTGGGGAACTGGGGGACAGACATACAGCTATGATGGGTTGGCCCACTGTAAAGGCCACCGCGTGGTCTTGGGTGGATCTTACCAGTCGGGTCCGTGCTCTTGGCCAGGGCCAGTGTCGATGTGCCCGCATGTGGACTGGACAAGCATGTCCACAAGCTCTGGACCTGTTCCGGTGTGCCACGGAAGGAGGGTCGTCTGGTAAATGGAGCATCTTTGGTTGCTTGTGAGAGGTAGGGTGTGAGGTGGGACAGAGTGCTGATTATGTGTGGACTAGGGGACCTGCTGCGGCTACACCCGCAATAATGAAGTAATGTTTGCCGATAAAATGAAAGAGGTTTATGGGTCTGGAGGGTTGGTGGTGGTTGGATTTGAACTGAGTCAACTGACCTGTTGTGTGTGTTTCACTTTCCATACCTGTCTCCCGCTCACCACAACTCTCTCTCTCTCTCTCTCTCTCTCTCTCTCTCTCTCTCTCTCTCTCTCCCCCCGTCTATCTATCTATCTATCTATCTATCTATATATCTATCTATCTATCTATCTATCCATCCATCTATCTGTTTGTCTATCCATCTATCTATCTATCACCGACAGTTGAAGGCCTGAAATTCATGCTGTTCTCATACTGTAGTGCAGAGTAGCAGAGAAGTGGGGTGTACTGCAGCAGAGCACAGTGAGTCGTCCTTTCATTTTATTCATTTCTATTGTTGTGTATCGGGTCTGGGGTGAGATGGTGTGATCGAGAGAGCCTTGGGGACAGTTGTTGGAAGTCGCCTTCAATTGTAAATGTGCCACTGTTGTTAAGCACATCTTGTAACGTATTAATGAAGTGTTGAGCATCCAATCTACATGGCACTTGCTGATTTCTATAGAACACTGGATAACGCGTCTGTAGTAGTGTTCTCATGTGAGCCACAATGCTGGGTGTGGATCTTGGAGCATTTCCTGGAAGACACAAGGCAAAGGAAAAACGACGCAGCATGTTGTAAAAGTCAAGCGCTGTAGAGTCGATCTGTGGCGTTATAGTAGCAGGTGGTCCCCCCCGCCCCCCCTCTTTTTAGGGAGACCTGGTGCAGGGCTCATGCATGTATTTCTAAGTTGCAGGGGGGGGTTCTGGTGCAGGCAGGGGTCATGTACTTCGAAGTACATCCTCTCTCTCTCGCTCTCATCTCCGACCGATCGTGTAGGCGGGCGTCTCTCTCTGTCGCATACACATCCAAACATGACAAGTATAGCACAGATCCAAGGAGTCGACTCAAAGCAAGAGACTATATAAAGGCAGCAGAAGACTGAACATACATCTGACACAGCGATGTCGGAATGGACAATGCACACTCATACATGCATCACACAGTGAGAAGGGGGCAGTGCAGCATGCAATGAAGGGGCGCTGTTCCCTGGTCATCCTCGGACGAAGTAGGAGGGAGAGGGAGACGAAGGGGGAAGAGAGGGGCAAGAGACCAAGTCGCCAATCCCGAATGTCCCCGAAGTCCCAGTCTCAATACTTTGCCCGAAATACAGAGCAGGGCAATGGCCCGAGTGTTCCCAAGTTCAGATCTCAGATAACTCTCTCTCTCTCTCTCTCTCTCTCTCTCTCTCTCTCTCTCTCTCTCTCT